AATCTCTCTACAGTCAACCATGTATATAGAATCTCTCTACAGTCAGTCATGTACATAGACTCTGAACAGTCAACCATGTATATGAAATCTCTCTACAGTCAACCATGTATATGGAATCTCTCTACTGTCAACCATGTATATGAAATCTCTTTACTTTCTTTTTATACATGCCGCCACAATATTGTCATTGACATAATGGGTCCCTGTCCACACTTACACAATATTGTCACTGACACTGCAGAATGGATCCCTGTCCACACGGTAAATAGACGCACTATAGTGTGCTCAGAACGAATTGTTTCAGTAAGTAAACGCGGTTATGGTGTCACCTTGTCTAATTAGTTAATCCCCTCTCTTCACGAGACAACAGGTAGATGTGCCCGAGGGTGGGATTACAGGGCTCAAATGGCCTGCCATTCAGGTAAATACGATATAGTCCATTAGCACTGATAAAGGTGACAACACTTGATGAAGCATTAAGTAAAGCGCATGTGATATTCCATTACCCTCATACACTGTGTAGCAAGGCCCCAGGGTCCGCTCCAGCCCGCTCAATGGTATCTACCTGGCGGATATACCCGTTACCTGGCAGGTGTATCTACCTGGCGGATATACCCGTTACCTGGCAGGTGCGCACTGTTTAATCTAGGTGGAAATTCAACTGGTGATATATTTGATATGGACGTGTTGGATGTCGCCAAGTATAAATGGTAAACGCCAACTGCGGAGAGCGAGTTGTAGGATTGCCAGTGTCCCTGAAATTGAGACAAAGAGAAGTGGGTTACTGTCATCACAATGCAGGTCAACCCGGTCTCCCATAGAAATAGGGCTACCAGTCCACCCGGTTTCCCAGAGTAATAGGGGTACCAGTCAACCCGGTTTTCCAGAGTAATATTGGTACCAGTCCACGAGGTTTCCCATAGTAATAGTGGTACCAGTCCACGAGGTTTCCCAGAGTAATCGTGGTACCAGTCTACCCGGTTTGCCATAGTAATAGTGGTACCAGTCAATCCGGTTTCCGCGAGTAATCGTGGCACCAGCCTACCCGGTTTCCCATAGTAATAGTGGTACCAGTCTACCCGGTTTCCCATAGTAATAGTGGTACCAGTCTACCCGGTTTCCCAGATCAATAGTGGTACCAGTCCACCCGGTTTCCCATAGTAATAGTGGTACCAGTCCACGAGGTTTGCCGAAACGACGGCGATGCTGTTGCCATATGTATTCTCAGTATCATTTTGAAACTGATTGAAAATCAGAAGCTTCATGTGGCAATGAGATAAGATGCAACACCTCTGATGATGATAATGGTTCTCAGTTGTGCCCCGTGACCGGGAGTAAGCCAGGTGAGCTAAGTGAGACACAGTTTGACAGGAACAGAGAACAGAGTTGTGACTTGCATACATCATCCTCTCCCTGGCAGACACCAAAGACACACCAAGGTCGTTAACGGATGGAGACACCGGGGTAATGATTGCATGCGCATGCTCTAAACCCATACGACCTTATGTACAAGAAATATGCCGTTTTCAAATGTGCCTATTTACAAGTCCAGTGTTTGACCTATGACCCGAAGCAAACCACAGCTCATGTCGTCGTAGCATGTTTCCAGATCAGAGAAGGGCAGAGGTTAAAAGAAGGAATGAGAGAGAGTGAGAGGGGCTGGAGGAGGAGGACTGGATATAGTTATATGGACGATTACATCCTACACTATCTTGTATCTGTTTGTCTAAAGAGATGTTCTCTCAAGTTTCTGATCAAATAAAGTTTTATTTTCTCAAATTCGTGATCGGGTAAAGTGTCAATGTCTACAGTTTGTGACTGAGTAAAGTGTTATTCTCTCCCGTTTGTGATTAAGTAAAGTGTTATTCTCTCCAGTTTGTGATTGAGTAAAGTGGTATTCTCTCCAGTTTGTGATTGAGTAAAGTGGTATTCTCTCCAGTTTGTGATTGAGTAAAGTGTTATTCTCTCCAGTTTGTGATTGAGTGGTAAAGTGTGAGTATTCTCTCCAGTGGTATTCTCTTTGTGATTGAGTAAAGTGGTATTCTCTCCAGTTTGTGATTGAGTAAAGTGTTATTCTCTCCAGTTTGTGATTGAGTAAAGTGGTATTCTCTCCAGTTTGTGATTGAGTAAAGTGTTATTCTCTCCAGTTTGTGATTGAGTAAAGTGTTATTCTCTCCAGTTTGTGATTGAGTAAAGTGGTATTCTCTCCAGTTTGTGAGTAAAGTGGTATTCTCTCAGTTTGTGATTGAGTAAAGTGGTATTCTCTCCGTTTGTGATTGAGTAAAGTGTTATTCTCTCCAGTTTGTGATTGAGTAAAGTGGTATTCTCTCCATTCTCTCCAGTTTGTGATTGAGTAAAGTGGTATTCTCTCCAGTTTGTGTGGTATTCTCTCCAGTTTGTGATTGTAAAGTGTTATTCTCTCTCCGTTTGTGATTGAGTAAAGTGTTATTCTCTCAGCTTGTGATTGAGTAAAGTCTCCGTTTTGAGTAAAGTGTTATTCTCTCCCGTTTGTGATTGAGTAAAGTGGTATTCTCCAGTTTGTGATTGAGTAAAGTGGTATTCTCTCAGTTTGTGATTGAGTAAAGTGGTATTCTCTCCAGTTGTGATTGTGATTGAGTAAAGTGTTATTCTCTCCAGTTTGTGATTGAGTAAAGTGTTATTCTCTCCCGTTTGTGATTGAGTAAAGTGTTATTCTCTCCCGTTTGTGATTGAGTAAAGTGTTATTCTCTCCAGTTTGTGATTGAGTAAAGTGTTATTCTCTCAGTTTGTGATTGAGTAAAGGTATTCTCTCCAGTTTGTGATTGAGTAAAGTGTTATTCTCTCCAGTTTGTGATTGAGTAAAGTGGTATTCTCTCCCGTTTGTGATTGAGTAAAGTGTTATTCTCTCCAGTTTGTGATTGAGTAAAGTGTTATTCTCTCCAGTTTGTGATTGAGTAAAGTGGTATTCTCTCCAGTTTGTGATTGAGTAAAGTGTTATTCTCTCCAGTTTGTGATTGAGTAAAGTGTTATTCTCTCCAGTTTGTGATTGAGTAAAGTGTTATTCTCTCCAGTTTGTGATTGAGTAAAGTGGTATTCTCTCCAGTTTGTGATTGAGTAAAGTGGTATTCTCTCCCGTTTGTGATTGAGTAAAGTGTTATTCTCTCCAGTTTGTGATTGAGTAAAGTGTTATTCTCTCCCGTTTGTGATTTAGTAAAGTGTTATTCTCTCCGTTTGTGATTGAGTAAAGTGTTATTCTCTCCCGTTTGTGATTGAGTAAAGTGTTATTCTCTCCCGTTTGTGATTGAGTAAAGTGTTATTCTCTCCAGTTTGTGATTGAGTAAAGTATAATTTTCTGCTGTCTATAATCTAGGAAGGTATTGCACTCTCACGTTTTTGACCTAGAGAGGCACCAATCTCTCTTGTTTCTGATATAGTAAAGTTCCATTTTACCTGATTTCTGATCTAGCTAAGGACTTGCTATTGTGTTTCTGATCTAGCTAAGGACTTGCTATTGTGTTTCTGATCTAGCTAAGGACTTGCTATTGTGTTTCTGATCTAGCTAAGGACTTGCTATTGTGTTTCTGATCTAGCTAAGGACTTGCTATTGTGTTTCTGATCAATAAAGCACTATTCTTTCCTGTTTCTGATCTAGCTAAGGACTTGCTATTGTGTTTCTGATCTAGCTAAGGACTTGCTCTTGTGTTTCTGATTAATAAAGCACTATTCTCTCCTGGTTCTGATCTAGCTAAGGACTTGCTGTTGTGTTTCTAATCTGGTGAAGTGTTATTCTCTCCTGTTTCCGTTCTAATAAAGTGTTATCCTGCTTTTGATCTAATATATTTTAATTCTCTGAGGTTGCAAGACTACTATTCCTGTAGAAGGTTTCATGTATATGACTCACCTTATTCGTCTCCCAGACAAGCCTCCTGCCTCTAGTTACCCCATAACACATGATATATTGAAGTTAATATCGCCTGTACATACATCATAGACTGTTTCAGTCACAACTTAGCCTGTGAGAGTGTTTTTACTTTACTGATTGTGGTTGAGTGTTCACATCATGTTGGAGATTCTTCTTTTCCATGATGCGTGTAACGTGGCTGTTCCGCTCAAATAGCGGTGCTCCATCGATCAAGACCTGATCATTTTAGACTGAGTTGTACCGACCTCTCCCCGTCAAAATTAATACATTATGTCATACAATCAATAGTTTGTGCATGTTTCACGAGAATCTGCAAACACTGTGTGCGCGCGCACTACTCGCTGGCAGACATCAAACTTGGAGTGTGGAAGACCGTCAGCACACCGCTGTCTAACAACAGCAGATAGAGATGTCTGTGTAAATATTTCACACATACAGTTCCCTGCGACCCTGTCTGCTGACAACTCCATTGCCCTGGCGCGGGATGAGCAGACCAAAATACCAATCTCAGCAACTTGTAAAAATATCTGCAATATGTCGGTTAATAAAGCAAAACGGTATATGAGATATATTGAGTGTAAACTAAGACTGTCTGGCGTATGTTCTGTGTGTATGATACAATGTGGTGTTAATATTTCACCTCTGTTATGCAGTTATCGATGTTACTAATGCTTTAATCTTGAACAACTTTCATATTTCCTCTTGTGTAATTACGGTTATGGCGGCGGCTATAATGGCCAGTTGGTTTTATTGACTTTGCAAAGCGGCTTACACAAGTACATGAAATCCTAAGAAGAATGCAATCAAGAGTATTTCTACAAATTACGCCTAATCCGTTTTACACTTTTACTGACCGGGCAAATTGTCGGAAAGAAGATTTGTGTCCTAAGACACACTCGGCTCTTTCCGCCAGTTAACATTTTAAATGCTTTCCTGAAAATACACAAAAACAGAAGTACCCAGGTAAAGCAGGGGTGTGGTCTTCAGAGAGAGGGTGGGACTACAGGTGGGGAACCAGCGCCTAGAAGGGAGATCAGCCTCACAGGTTTGTCGCCCGTACAGTCTGAAAGAGGCCTCCACTCGATGTATGAGCGTGAACGCTGACTAACGCTAGGCTGCGATCCCCGTTGTACCTGCTTCACAAACTGTGATTCCCCCGAGCGAGAGACTACCGCCTGCTTGCTGTGGATACCCTAACAGCGGCGGAGGACTATACTAGGCCTATGAATGGCCCGCCCGACGCTACTACTGGTGCGTCAGCTAGTCCATGGCCTGCAGTAGAGGTGGCAAACGGGTGGATGCGAGCTGACCACATCATACACAGGATTTCTATGGAGTGATTTCTCTGATTCTTTGTGGATTGTGGAAAAAAATTGAAATTGTGTTTGATCGAACAGTGAGTCGTCGCTAACTGTCTTGCGAGGCTGAAGTTTGTGAATCGATGTAAAGTGTGTAGGGCTGACAGATTCGTCCTTCTCATGCACACAACGGCGGGAGTTTGCGCGTGACGAGCAGACGAGAAACAGAAAACGGCAGACGACATAGTCACACACAAAACATGGCGCGGTATAGAGGTGTATAGGCGACGGGTGAGTGAGCAACAATTACCATTTTATTACAAAAGACATTATTTGAAACATGTTCCCATGACGTGTGAAATAAACCTATCCTGCTATAGACTGTACGATAAGAACTTGAAAGTTGGCTAGCTGCAAACATGGTTTTATCGTGTATGTGTAAGCCAGTAAACCAGTCTGCATATTACCTTGACGTATGTACAGGCAACATGATGTGTGCAGAACATAGTCTGTCAGCGCTACTGTAACAGTTACTTAGTAGTATGTGGTGCAGCTCAGGTCCAGAGTAAGATTGGTATTTGTCACCAAGAGAGAGACAAGGCGACCGGCTACCACACCGTTCTGTACCTGCCTGCTGATGCCAGTGTTTCAAGCCACATACCGACACCACGTTACACTTGTAGTGCTGTTGTATTTCATCCTGTGTCAGTATCGGCTCATCGCACGCCTACTTTACCCCGCTCTCGGGCTGTCCACATCATATTAATCATAAATCGACCGATATATCCGCTGTTGAAAACTGGCAGGTTACCGTGGAATGATCACGTACAGTTTGATCACCGCAGATTTAAAACTTTATTATAAGTGTCAGATTTTAAATTAACCGAAGACCCTGGCTCAGCTTGAAGTTTATCTTCAAGGATTAAAATGTTGCAAGTCAGTGCGTGCTCTACGGTAAACGCTGTGAACATGTGTAATATAACTCACTGGTACTGAAGGTGGGGACGTTCTAAATACCCAGGCTTCCTGTCTACAATATGTTTGAGAGTTCATCCCCTATGCAACACCTATGTATTTTGATCATAGAAACATCATGTATGAAGAAGCTAAGCCTCCAAGAGGTACAGGGAGGACACATGGAGTGTGTGTTTTGTGAAATGAACTGAACTACCTTGGAAGTATGTGTTGATGTACTCCAACGTGTTATATAAACACATCTGATATGTTCTCGTTTGTTGATTTCACCAGTGTGTTAGTTGTAACCCAAGTCTTCCTAACCTCCAGTTTGTTGTCCTAGGTGTAAGTCCCTACGTTCAGCGTGCATCTAGCGGACCAAATAGCCCCAATGTAAAAATCGTTTACCATTATAACGTGATAAAACTCGGGCCACCGGATTTCAACATGGTAGAGCATGCACCAAGGGCCTTTATGGCTAAAGTGGGATTGGGAAGGAGATGGTTTGGATTTCTTAATCGAAGGGACCTGTGGCGTATTACAGGTATCAAATAACCAAATGTTTAACGCATCATTGTGTCGGCGAGAAGACAATTATCCAGCCACGATTTGAAATAACGAGAAGCTATCTGATCGCTCTCCATGCCTGTAGTTCGTGATGGTGGGGATTTTGTGTTCGTCGAATGATACTGGAGAAAGGATGGCATGCCTTTTCTCTGATGAGAGCCGATCACTGCAGTGTGCTGAGCCAATCGGAGCCCGTGAGGGCAGGTATATCTGACACAGGTAGCCTGTACGTCAAACAGTCTCCATTTCAACATCATTTCCTGTCCAAGATCTTAAGTTAAAGCAGGTTGTTTGAAGTTAATTATTATATCCACAGATTCCTAGTATCAACATGAATTACCGTTCATCAAAATGGGTTTGTTTGCCAATGTCAGGAACCACAACGTGGTGTGTACAGTAACATTGCTGTAGTCGTCATTATTGACAATAATAAACGTGTTCTATCAGCATTAGGGATAGTCCAAAAGCAAAGCTTTTAATTCGACTTTCAACAAATACAATGATTGCAACAAGAACGCCTAATCTCCATGTTCAAAATAACATGACATTATTCCTTAGCCTCTTGACGATCAAACGAGGAGAGGTGAAGGCGTAATAGCTTCCTGATGCGTTATTATACCATTGTCTGTGTGTGCTCGCACATACGCGCTGCCCCCCTACCCCCACTCTCCCAGTTCCCGGCTTTGGGTGCATTACCAGCAACAGCGTGTGATGTTGCTGACGCTAGGCTTCGTGGGAACGATCATCCCATGTCCCCAGACACCTGCCTAATCCACACAT